TTTGTTAGTATGACATATATGCATGCTACCCAAAAAAATTTTTTAAAAAAAAACATATTCTTTACTTAATTAAATTAATCCTTATCTACAAAAACTTAAATATGACCTTGAAAATGTCACTTAAAAGACTAATTCCCCAATTTTTTTCTATTTCATAAGCAAGTTATATATAAGACATGACTCGTAATATCAGAGTTGTTAAACGAAACGAACTGTTGGTGTGCTTGACTCGTCTCATTCAATAATAAACAAGTTGAATTCGGGCTCGTCCAGGTAACAAATCAAGTCGTAATTTTTATATAATTTTATAGTTCGATTTGTTATGACTCGATTTCAGCTCGTTGACTGATCAAACGCGACTTGTTAATTATTGATCGATGAGCCGAGCTCAAGTAAATAAAGGATCTAGCCCAAGATCAAGTATTAGTAGTTCGAATTCCACTCTAATTTTTTTATCCTCAAATTAATAAACTATACAAGTCTTTATAAGGATCAGCTAAACCAGATTATTTTTTTCCACAATAAATTAACTTTCTCAATCAGCAACATACTTTTATTTCAGAATTAAGGTGCAATGTTAAGGTTCTTAACAATGATTAAGTGGGAGATTAAGGTTTTCAAATTATGGGTAGCTTTATGTTTGAGAAAAGTAAAGACTAAGGTTTCTCTGTATTATTAATATAATCTTTCTGTACACAGTATCTATCACACATTTCGTTTATTGCAAGCAAAGGAATGTAATAGTTTATAGTGTACTCAAAAGGCATGGGAAAAATCATTGTATTTCATATCTATTTATTAAGTGAGTATCTAATATCTTGCACTACAAAAAAAATATTTCAATTCCAACGGCAAAAATTTTCGTTCAAAATTCCAATGAATATTTCAACAAACTTAATTTTATGTTGGAATAAATGTTGGATGGTTGAGGAATTCCAACAGATTTTTCCGTTGGAATAGTTGTAGGAATTTATTTTCATAGGATTTTCCGTTGGATTTGAGCTATTCCAACAGCCGTTTTTCCCACGAATTTTTATACGTAGGAATATCCGTTGGAATAGTTATTCCAACGGAAAATATAAAGAATTCCAACGGAAAATTTCCATTGAAATGTAGGAATTTTTGTTGTAGTGTTGGATTTGGCTCATGTTGTCAATTCATACTTATTTTGGTGTGATACATTTGAAGACGAATGATGATATAAGCCATGTATTATTTTCCTCATTACATCTATAGATATAATTAATGACAATAAAAATTATGTTTGAAAAAATAACGTTAATTTCAATAACTCAATATTCCATAAATGGCATCAAGAAATTTAGTTTTGACAGCGTTTCTAAAAGTCGCTAAGCGCTCATCAAGCATAAGGCTAGGCCCTGGTCAAGATCGTAAAATTTATATATATTTATCATCATGTATAACTTATAAGATATATAACACAAAGTATGTTAATTAATATATTCAAATACAAAGTATATGAAAAATTCAATGCTTTCATAATTATTATATTAATTTTAATTTAATTAGTTTTATTGTTTACTATATAGTTAATATAAAATTCATACATAAGAATTGTTTGAACGGCTAGAATGACCATCTATATCACGGGCAGAGCCATGAATATGCGGAATACCTAGGACGAGTGAAATTGTGACCTACGCTCTTCATAGTGATTAAGGGTGAATGGCGGTGTTTTTTGGTGTAAAACCACATCGAATTATAAAAACATAAAAAAATTAAACTCGTTAAAAAGTGAACCATTTTTTTTTTGCACAAAATAACTGAATGCACCATGCACAATGTCACACAACTCGGCTCGATTTTTCTATAAATTTATATTTAATTTGGTGTGGTTTGCACCAAACATACAAAAAATGAAAACCGAAGTTGTATAAGATTATGACCATACTGCAGTGCAGAAAAACATCGAAGCAAAAAAATATTACTTTTAAATAAACCAAACTGCATCACATCGAATTTCATGGTTCAACTCTTTTTTTAGATTTAGTTTGATTTCGCTCACACTATAAGAAAATAGAGTTCTAGTGAAGAATTTTGTTGTCACTGTGATGTCACTATATCTACTGTCACTATATCTACAATTATTGTCACTATATCTACAACAATTGTAGATATAGTGACAATAATTGTAGATATAGTGACAACAACTGTAGATATACTGACAGTAGATTTAGTGACAACATAGTGACAACAATCGTAGATATAGTGGCGAAAAAATTCTTCACTAGAACTCTATTTTTTTGTAGTGTCACCCCCAATAGTTACAAACTCAACAACAACAATTTCAGTATCATTGATTATTTTTTCAACGAGCTCCTTACACAATAATTAACTTATGAAATTAGCCAACAAAAAAAGAAAAAAACTAATAAAGCATATGAGTAATGTTGATGGTGGGTCGCCAACAGTTACGAAAATCGTGTTTAAGGCGGTTTAATCGTGGATTAAGATATAATTATGGTGTATTTTGATGATCTCGATTGTGAGGAGATCGCAGCGATATAAACATGCCTAAAAAAAAGTAACACTGATTTTGTCGATCAGTTGTGGTGATCGACACTGAGAGAGTTTCTCCAGAATTTATTAGAAGTTGTCTATGAAAATTAAAGTCGAATGTTTTGTATGCAATATTCAAGATCAGAGGTAATAAAATAGAGTAATAGTGATCGTGATGATCTTTGAGGAATTAGCCGAGATTGGCATATAAGTGTGTATGCTTTTTCTTGGACTTCATTGTCTTTCTTCCGACTTGAGGGCCAGTATTTATACACAAAAAAAGGTATCGGCGAATTAAATGAGGAATGCCAGCTAGCAGCCTACGGTGGCACTGCGTGTTTTCATACAAAAGTTGATGGGATATGTCAGGCAGTGCTATCAGCTTTATCAGAGCGTGTTCAAACCATGGTTTTGAAAATCGGACAGGACCGGCCGGTTGAACCGGGAAACGACATTCAATCCGATTCGGTTTGGACCATAAAACCGACAGGCAATCGAACCGCCCAAGAACCGTTTGAACCGGTCCAAAACGTTGAACCGGTGAATCAAAATTGGTTTAAACGGTTCAATGGTTCTGGGTTTTGAATTTGTTAGGAGTTGATTGTGATGTCATTTAAATAACACACATTTTTTATTTGTGTTTCCATTGTGAAACGTATAATTACTTGCGAGTGCGCTAAGTGTAGTACGAACGTGAGTAAACAATGTAAAAAGCGGAAGCAATAAACCGAAGATTTTAAAACTCTTCAGGGAAGCGTCCCACTTCCCCTCAGAGCTCTTTCATTGATAGATCAACCATACACATAGCTTGGACTTACAACGACTCGAACTCCCTTCAAGCCTAGCCAACACTACTCCGATCCTATCAACTAATTCTCCGGCCACGTCCCGTGGACTTTAAAACTTACACTTACTCCCTAAGTGTATAAGCTGTAAAATAGTTTTTGGATGAAACACAAAGAACAAAATAAAACAGCTTCAGTCCTTGAGCTAGTTCGAACTCTCAGACTGAACTGTGTACAACTCAACAAAACAGAATACACGAAGCTCAATTATTGCTCTATAAATCTTCAAAACTCAGCAGCCGCAATGAGAGCTTGCATACGGGTATTTAAAAGAATCTCCTTAGGGTTGGAGTCTTCTACAAGGCATAGGACTCCAACCTTGATTTCCTTCCTTGTTTGTAGCATAAGAATATGGTAAGTGAATCTTCTTCTCTCTCTCCTTGATCTCTTTATCATACACGCCTCTTCCTTCATTATCTCATCCGATTTCCTACAAATCAAAGCACCATAATAAGATCCAGAATATCTTATTTATGGAATATAAAATAATCGTAATTAAGGCAACAAATAAACAAAGATCTTCCCTGTTTCTGTAGTTCCAGGTGCTTGTTAGAACCTTCGAACTAATGCCAAAATAAATATCTTTCAATCTCCCCCTTTGGCATCTAGTTCGAAAACATCAACCTTTAACATCTCTCCTGAAAGGAATTAAAATATAAACAAGCACAGAAGAACTATCCACAAAACAATCATCAAGAGTTAGGACAAATAAGCATGCGACTGTTCTCCCCCTCAGTACCTGCAATTCAACAGACCTCAAAAATCGAACAAGTATCAATTGAGAACAATTAAGACCAAATCATCATTCATTCATCAAGAGTACTAACAACCATCCAACAAAATAGAGGTGAGTAGCAAATATCACACAAGCAAATAAAATTTGAGGTTCTTATACAAAAAGACCTCCCTACATCCCTCAAAACACACAAAAGAAGAAGTACTACTCCTCATCATCATAGTAATTCGCAATGGCATCATTGGTGCTATCTCCATCAGAGTCAGATCCTCCATCATCCTTCACAGCGGCTTTGCCCTTCTCCCCCTTTTTCGAACTACGGGATGCCGAAGGGCCTGTCCCCGCAGTCTTTCGATTGGTCCCCTTAACTGCCTGCAACACTTGCTTGAGGTAGGCCTGCTGAGTA